TACCTACCTACCTTGCTGGAGAGGAACTGATGATGCTGCTGATGTAGAAAGCGATGTGATGCTGGGGATGTTGGCTGGACTGCGGGGGATGTTGACAACGATGCTGATGATGTTGACGGGTTACAGGGTAAGTGCTGTAAGTCGTCCCGGGTTGATCTAAGTCGTCCCGGGTGAGTGTGCCCGTTGTGTTTGCGGATGTAAGGATAGTTGTCTCAAGCATATCATTTTCTGAAATCGCATAATTCTGTGCTGTGCACATGCAAAATGTATGATGTTCTACTCGAGGTATCCTGACAGAAAGGTGCCCATGAGATCCCAGATTCATAACATCAACATTTGGTCGGCTTCCATGTGCCGTGTGCATGCATGTATGTTCACTGCCACTGGGTGACTCTCTCTTCTCGTGCCGCAGCACTTGAAGTTGTGCCACAAGCGGAGGGCACGGCTCACCCGGCGCTCGCGCGGCACTCGCGCAGAGTCGCGCGGCACTCGCGCCGGCAGCCCTTTTGTCGGGTGTTCCGGCCCGGAACCGTTTTTTTTAAACTAGCCCTGGCTTGGCTTAGCCCTGGAACCAACATAAAACACTATTTATGTTTGAAGGATAGGAACCCTTTCATTGCAGTGTGCCCAATAGGGTTTTGCCCGGGAAAAGCATTCAACATGAACCCAAACCAGTGAGTTTTGAGCATGTGCGTGCAGTGTGCGGTGAATTCTTGGGGTTGGCAACATCGCCCTTCCAGTTCTGTGCCCATTGTGTTTTGCAAAACATGGGGTGACTTAAGCGGATATGCGTAGTTCCAAGCGGCTGGGGATGGCTGGGGTGACGCCCGCTTGTAGTGTAAAATCCGTACCTTTCGTCAGGCAATGCTGTAAAATACAGCATTTCACTAGCCAAGACGGAAAAAACATCTCGACCCAAAAACAACTAATGCCAAGCGGTGGTCACGCCAGCTAGCCCCAAACGAATCAAACACCAACCCTGACAAAGCTCTAAAGCCGTCTAAAGCCTACCCGATTCCAGCCGCAATGAAACCAGCCCTGCAACGCAGCATGGGGCTCATGCATGTCTTGCGGTGGCAACAGATCAGGGGCAGACTGAGCCCGGCGATGCTGGGGATGTTGCCCTCCACCCGCCCTCCTCTCTTGATCACAGTCACGGTGCTCACATCCAGACACTTCTTGTAGCGAGCCACTCCTAACAAAAAGCCACTCCTAGCAAAAACAAAAACGTCGCGACCATTTTCCCCACTTACCATGAAGAGTTTAGTGGCACCCTTGTTCCTAGTGAGCCAAGCATTCGGAGCAGATGAAGGGAATGAAGCGCCTGATGCTCGCGCTCGCCCTTTCAATTGGACCCATAGCGGGCGTCTGAAGCTCGCTGGAGTCTGCTCTGAATGGGTACGGCTTACATGGGGGTCTCCAAAATCGTCGCATATGTTAGGGTAACTCAGTTGTTCAAAGCCGACCTTTTGGTCTGTTACGCAAACGAGTTAAAGAGTTGAAGATGGCCAAGAATCTGCCACTGTGAGAGTTTCTCAAAATGTACCCCTTCGGGTTGGTATTGCAAGGAAAACCCAAAGCGGACCGTTGCCATTTTAGGGGACCCCGACGATCAACGTTCTCTTCGGCCCCCAAATCACCAAGGGAAGGCTGGGATACATCACCTTTTCAGTGGTTTTCCATCGAATGGTCATCCCATTTTTACCCTACCTTTTGCTCATTTCATGTTTTGTTCTTTGTCTCCCATTGGGCCGAGTGAGGATCGGTCCAAAAGGGTTCCTGGGTCTGTGAGGCGCGCGGCAGATGCACGAGTCCCTCATTGAGCCGGGCGCAGGGCAGTTCTTTTTTGTTGTTGTTGCTTCAAGCCCTTAGATGACTAAACCTCATCGGCAAGTTGGACTCTCTTTTAGGGGCATGAAGGTTAGTAGGGACACTGCAAAACATGTGTAAAACGGATCTCCGCCTTTTGGTATTTCTTGGTATTGGTTTTTGGATAGACCCGCGTTTGATTCGCCTGCGTTCCGCAGTGCGCATCGAGGCCCGAAGTCTTGGCGGAGATGGCCAGATCCCAGGTGCCAGATCCAGATGGCTGCCAGTCGAAGCGTTTCGCGTGTTCCCCTTTTGCAGGGCTCCCTATATTCATGGTTGTTGTTGGGAAACATTTTACATTTTTGCTTATTGTGGTTTAGTGGGAAATCCCCACTTAACTTCTAAATTTCAATTTTTTGCTCCCCTTTCAACGTCAACCAAGTATTTCCCTTTTTGGTGGTTTGACACATCCCCTTTCGGACCCTTTAAAGTGAGTTGGGTTCCCTATATGTCTCTTTGTTGGTGAACATCACCTTGTCGGACCCTTTGAAGGGAGTTTCCTTTTGGTGGGGTTCAAAAGGGAAATCTAGGGAGCCCTGTTTTGGCGTGGAAGATTACGCTCCCTCAGGCTAGCATAGAGGCTTCCAGAAGGCATTTGTGAACGGAACCAAGTCTTTCAAAGGGGTCCTGGGAGCTTCCATTGTTAGTCTGGGGCCCTACGGATTAACATGGAAGCCAAAGAGAAGATCCGGACCCGAAGAGGAGAACATGTCTACAAATGGCAGTGGGTCACAAATAGGGTAACCCCAAAATGGAACCATGGTGAATGGAAGCATGGACTAAAACCTGCGGTCCAATTCCTGGTGGTTTAATTTTGACCCATACCCAAATGATGTGTTAGAAGACGCATGGAATTGGCAACCCAACCCTGATTCCTAACAACCGTTCATTTCTGCGGGTATTGTTGTGATATTTTCCAATTAATACCTGCTTCGGAAGAAGATATGGCTATGAGTTTCAAGAGTTGCAGCGTCCTCAATGGTCGGTGGGCAATAATCCTGATGTGTTTGTTGAACGTGCACCAAATGGTCCAACAATGCATCGAATGTTCACACGGTATCGCACTTGAGCGTAACTCGATTCCTATTGTGGATGGACGAAATCCTGCACCACTTGGAAACCATGGGAAACCATGGTTGCTTGTTATTTACAGGGGAATCAACATTCCAGGGTTTCTTTTCTGGCGCAGGATTTCGTCCATCCACAGTATTGATAAGCTTAGCAGGTGTAGCTTTGTTTCCCAAGAGCGGCAGCTATGGAGTCTTAGGCAATCCTGGGTTTGGGGTAGTTTGCGCATCGGAACATCCATGGGCATGGGCAACGCCTTCACCTAGGATATATAAGGTCAGAGGTCAGCTTTAGTTGGAGAGCCGGAAATTCCTTGAAAATAGAGCAACTAGTGTCTAAGATTGGGCTTTGAGGTGGCAACATGCGTCACTGAAATGAGATCGGTGGGCATAGCCTAATGGCACAGCCAGGACAGACACGAGGCTGAGCCAAAGAAGAAGCGCAAGAGGCGGAGTTTGTGCGCAGTCCAAAGCTCGGTGTTTCGAAACCGAAATGGTCTCCTTTGGTTTCCCCTGAAAACAATCCAACGGGACTCGAGAAACGAGTTGAACGCAGTGGATACCTTTCGAGAATCAAGTTGCACGCGTTCGTTGCAGTTGTCCTTTTCGCAGTAGGGTCCTCGTTCCGTGACCAGCCATTCTTCCCATGCTTGTGCAGTAGCCCACCACCCCGCTGTTTGAACCTCCAAACGTGGCATGGTCAAAGAATCTGCCAATAAATGGATTGCATCTTGAAGCGAGAAGGTCAGTTTCGACCCCCGAATGCTTTTAGCAGGGACGGGCTCCGCAGGAAGGGCCAATGAACCAGAACCTCGACGGCTTCTTCCGAAGCAGATGGACGAGGCATATTTGCTGCCTTGCGGGTTTACTGGCTTGGGGAGGACATGAGGTGACCACGGAAAGTGCCAATTTTCCCACGTCCTTCTGACTTTGTCTCTTACTCACATGGGCGTTTTTCAAAATAGGCCCCACCCCGCTTGTATGGTTTCAAGGGGAAAGCCACATGGAAATCACCCAAAAAGAGAAGGGCTCCCTTTGAGAAACACTCATACGACCCATGACTCCATGACCTGATTTTGCGTCAACTCACGAGCCACGTGGTTTTGTTGCTTCAGGATGTCGAGTGGGGCCTAAGATCAGAGCCTTCTTCTTTGTGTTTTTGGTTGAGGGAATCGCAAGAAGGGGTTGTACCAGGAAACTCCTTGCTTGGGTGGTTGGGATTGGTGGCCTTTTGGGTGGCTTGGATTGGTGGGGATTTGAACCCCTGGTTCTTGCAGAAACCACTTAGCCACTGAACCGATTAAACCAGCAATTGGGGGAAACCACTCAAAGGTTGATAGGTGAGTTTCTAGCTCTCAGCGTATGCCTCAAACCTTGTGGCCATGTGGTAAGCAGTTTCGCTCGGCTTTAGTAGTGTTCTCAGTGAGGCCCCTCAAATCTTGACCCTCCCCTTCAAATTGACAAAAACAAGGGGTTCCGTGTTTACCAGGCAACGGTCTTGGGACACGGCTCAGGTTGGCAACAACAGGCCGACAGCTGCTAAAGGCGGTTCGGATTGCTAAAGCCACCAAGCCCTGAAGAGCTTCACAATGCACGAATGGGTTGCAAAACGGGTCCATGCAAAAGCCACTCCAAAACGATTGTACGGATCCTGCAAACCGTTCCAAACGGTCATTCAGAGTTGAAGAAGTTTGCATCCTTCATTCAAATGTCATGTTCCAAGGGATGACTCCACCATCGGTGAAACAACAATCTTGTCCGTCCCGAGAAAGGTTGTTTCTTTTAAGTTTGTCACAAACAAAAACTCACATGGAATCTACAGGGCGGTCCTTTCGACTCTCACTTAAAAGGATAATTCGCTCAAACTGAGATTTTCTTACAAGTTCCACGTTGATTTGTAGCTTAGGAAGGTTCGCAAAGCAAATAACCCATTGCATGCAACACAAATAGCTCTCAACAAGACGCCAGGGCTTGGGAAGCTTCCAACAAAGAGCACAGTGCCTGACTGGTTGGGTGTTACAACCCAAAATCAGCGACCCGCAAATTGTTTGTTTATTCACTTCCCCCTTGGGGAAGAAGCCGACCTCGGCTTCGCGTTGCGGCTTGCGGCTTTCCGATGGCGGCGATTCGATGAATCACACGGTGCGAAGCGTGCAGCGCCTGGTGCAGCTCAGCCCCGATGTGGCCAAGGCGATGGATCGGAGTTCCGGGAGACCCCAAAATGTTGTGTTTTTTTTTTTTTTTCGTTTTTGTTTTTTTTTTTTTTTTTTTTTTTTTTTTTTTTTTTTTTTTTTTTTTTTTTTTTTTTTCGCAAGAACAATCTGTTCAAAGACGCAAGAAATTGGGGTCCTTTTGGTTTCCAACAGTCCACCAAGACTCGTCGACCTTTCCAGAAAACGGTTTGGATGCGTTTTTTTGTGGATTTCACCTGTTCTTCCCCCTGTCGGTTCTTTGTTAGTACTCTTTTAGGACTCTTTTAACATCCTACAGGTCCTACAGGGGTGACAAACACCGCATCCACGCCGTCTCCTTTAAATTTTAAGCTCCGGGTTTTCCGGATTTGGTCCATAGGCTGCAAAAGGTTAACCTTTAGTCCAGGCCTTCTGCAAGAAAAGGGTACCCTGAAAGGACACAGATTGGCTGTGAATTTGAGTTGGAACCACCTCACAAGTGGTGGACGTCCATCCTAAATGTCCAAGGGGTCCGGGACCCATTCAATCCATAGAGAAGTCAGCGTGGGTTCTTATGGCCTGCGCCCAGAAAGTGACCCGGAGTCCGAAGCCGTGAATGGGACACCCCCCCGGTCTAATCAACCAGATTGTTTTAGACAACAACGAAAAGGGTGTGAATCCTAATATTTGGGGGAACCCTCAAATGGTTGAATCGGGAAGGGGGTTTGCTTCCAAGCACCCCCCTACCTCGCAAAAGCTTGACTGGCCAATGCCTCCTTCATCCGGCTGGGGTCAAGGCTTGGTATGTCGAAAAGGGAAGGCGGGGGCTCTACTGTGCATGGACAAATGCGTTCGCGCCACCTAAGAAAAGATGGTGGACACCATTGCTTGTCGGTATTTTTGTTTGAGAATCGAATCATTCCAGGGTTTCTGAACCGAAATGGAGTTCACCCATCCACTGTATTACTAGTTGTTTGTCCGAGGCAATGGTTTTGGTCAAGGGAGTTTACACCCACCAGATGCCAGAGGGCTGAGGAAAATGATCCAAGCCTCCTCAATTGGGCCCCTTCGTTCAGTGGCGCCCGCGTTCCCTTTTTGCCACGGGGCACCCCCGCTAGACATGCCCGAACCACATTCAATCAACGGGGGTTAAGATGACCACCTTTGTTTTCCGAAGGAGGGGCATCATCCAAATTGGGTCAACCATGGTTTCGATAAAGGTTGAAGCCTAGCATTTGCTGGCTTTGCTCTCTATGTGGCCATCTCCAGCTGATGGGAGATGTCTTCTTGTTGAAAGAGCGAAAGACGGCAAACAAGCACGCAACATGCAGTTAAACAAAAAGCAGCGCAGGCACAAAGCATGGCAGTCGACAAAGAATAGGGGCGGGGAAACGGTAATTGGGTGTGTCGTTTTGTTGAGGGTAATCACCCCTTTGGGAATCCTAAAGACAGACACGCCCAATTGTTTACAAACACAGTTGGCTTGGTTTGGTTCCGTTCAAAATTCGCTCTTTAGCCAGGCCAGACCCTGTTCCACAGCGATCCAGTGAGAAAACATCCGAAACCACCCGGTTGCGCTTCCATGTTTGGCGTAGTGATTTGCACAACCTATTCCAGCTAAAAGAAGCTTTTCGTTTACGAAGGAATCCGTTTTTCAAGGTTCAACTCTAAGTCGCCAAAGAAAGACAGGGGCGTCCTTTTTTCGTGCCTACCCTACCTTGGCGTGGGTTCGTCCAGGGAAACGAACATGACCAGCTCGAGATCTGGGTCCCCAGATCTGGATCTCAGCCCCTTGGTCCGCGCCCGAGGCGGACCAGCTGCTGCTGGCGGAGCTGGGCATTTTGGACTTCGTGGATGCCCTCTGCGCGCAGCTCCTGAAGCTGCGCCCGGAGGCGCCTTCCGGTTCGGGCTCCAAGGGTTTTGGTTTTTTTGCCGCGAATTGTTTTGGGGCGGCGGAGAAAACGTGCCGCGCTAATTTTTGTTCAGGTGCCTTAACCACTTGCGGTGCACCCTTACCACACTGGGTTTCGGGTTTAGGGTTGAGGGGCTTGCATCCTGGACAGCCCGGAAGGCAAGCCCATTTCGGCGGGTCCGTTAAATCCGGTCTTTTCACCCCTCTGAAACGGTGGTTGAAACCATTGGTTGGTAGTGACAGAGGAATCCTCAGGGTGTCTTTGGTGCGAAATGGATTTCGCCAATCCACAGTACCACTTATTTATGTCTTGCTTTCTCAGCGAATGAGACAAGGAATGAGCCCGACCAAAAACAAGCCTTGTGGTTTCCTTGTTTTGGGATCCCTGGGTTCATTCCCAAATCATTCCTTACTGAGAACCAGCAAGATAAGCTTGTAAGCAGAACGATACCCCGATCAGTGCCAACCTCCATAGCTCCAAAAACCCAAATCTGAAAGCGATGAAAAGAATGGTCGGAACCAACCCTTACAACCAACGCCCCCCCCCCCCCTGGTGAAAAGAAAACTGAAAACCAAGAAGAAGCCACCAATGTTCGCAAAGAATGAGGGGTTCGTCCCCTTCAGATTTCCATTTCCATGACCGACCTTGAATAAACTATTATACCGAACATATATGAATTGGAGCTCCCATTATCAGGACACCATAACGTCACTTTCGAGGACCTGGAAAATCACAGGTTAACCTCTTGAAGCCTTGACGAAATATGAGCCTTGACAGAATATGAAGAATCAGGCAAACCAAAGGGTGAAACGGTCGATTCGGTTTGAGCACGTGGGCTAAAACCCGCAAGGTCAAGACTCGTTATTTCACAAACCGACAGAGGCAAAACCTCTGGTTTTGACAGTTCTCTGAAAGAAGGATCCCTGAAAAGAAGGGGGGAAGTACGACTAGAACTGTTCATGGTTGTGGAGAAATAAAGACACCTTCACATTTCGGGTCTTTCACAGGTGCTATTGTTTAACATGTTTGCTTCTCGCAATGACTCCTGTTTGTGAATACAAGAAGGAAGCCTTTGTTGATGTGTTTGTGTGTTGTTTGGAGGCAACATCTTCTGAGGCATCTTATATTTGATGACTCAGGTTAAATGATTCAATCTTCGGTTTGGAGTTGAACCAGGATTCCAAGATTCCCCTCCCTTGTCAACAGGTGGCACCTGGGATGCCGTGAGTAGAAGATCAAGTTGGACCCCCTCAGAAACCCAGTCCAACCCCGAACCCCTAAAGGAGCTACTGGGTGTGTTTTGTGTTTTTCAAAAATGGCACGGATGTTTTCTAGTTTACATAGATTTGTTTGATGGGGTTGTGCCCTTTTCTGGGGTTGTGAGAAGGTAACCAAAAACACACACTCATTTTGGAGAATGACCTGACGAGAGGCATGTGCATCTGTTTGGTAATTACACGCTTAGTTGTTGATTTGTTGCTCCTGTTTGTTGCAGGTGTAAAAAGATGGATTTTCCGGTGACCTGCATGGTTGCTTAAGCCAGGTTTGCGTCACCCTCATCGGGTCGACTTTGGGGAGGGATTTTTATTTTGGAAGATTGAGGAGGCGGGCAAGATGGATTGCTTTGAGGCCAGTGGGAAAGCTTCAAAACCAGCACGAGGTTTGGATCCCACATTCCTCCTGGGCTAGACTTGGGATGCGTTGTGTGATTTGTGACTGCAAACAATAGGATCCCTGGCCTTCCTTGACCAAGGTCAACTTGGTCAACCGGTATGACCGAGTTTTACTCAATGTTGACCAGTTTTACTTTTGCAAGGGGATTAGCTCAAACGTTTCGAGCAACACGCGTATTATGCAATAGGTGTCCGTTAGTAAGAAACCTTGACAGACAATTGGGCAATCAGTTTGCATGTCATATTGAAATGTGTGTGTCAAGCAACACTTGCTTACTAAGTTGGATGGGGTCATTGCAACATATATGTCTGCAAAGCCCAGTTTTCGGTATGGGCTCAACGCCTACCTCAGCGTTGGTGACATTTCGAAAGTGTAACAAGTTAAATGGAATGAACTCCATAAATACGGTCTTGCCCAATGTAGGAGTCTTGAAAGTATTGTGTTTGCAGAATTGTGTGCAAAAATGGAATCGTGAAATACCCGTGAAATAATCGTGAATGACCGAGTATACCCGTGAATGACCAAGTAAAACCGTGAACAAACCGTGATTTGGGCCCCCCTGCGGAAATCCCTCAGAACAGGGCATATGATGGGCAGGTTGGGCTAGCTATAGCGCACTTGGTGCACGCAAATGTGACTTTGAAGGCTTGGGGGATATACCGTTTGTAACCAGGCCCGAAATTCCATTGGTGAACCCTACCTAAACCAGCTGTTGGGCTTCGGGTACCAAGGTTGCAGCCACCCCAAGGTCAGAAATCAGGTTCTTTGGTCCATTTTGTTTGCTACAACTTCCCTGCAGATCTCCGCTCTCGCCTTCCTCTGCAGTTGAACCTGGAACCCCCAAAAGCCATCGTAGAGGAATCTCTTCATCTCTTCTTCGGGTTTTCCCTCTTTGAGTTCCTGTTCCTTCCCATTTCCAGGTGCCTAAAGTGCGGGATCCGTCCCACCTCACCAGCGCTCAGGTGTCCAAGATGGCGCCCCTGCTGCGGGGCGCTTTGGATACCTTCCTGGCCCAACGGATGCCCCACAGCTCCTCAGGCGAATCCGAGCCGATGGCCTTGCCCTTTGCGTTTTTTCAAGGGAAGCCAAAAGGACTCTGGTGCATTTTGCCAAGGGATAGGACTCAATAGCTTTTGGCCAACTCATGGGTTTTCCGTATGAAATCACCAAAAGTTAGTCACTTTTAGCAGGGGAGCAGAAAGCAACCGAGAAAGGGAGGTTCGTTTGAGCAGTAGTCGTCCCAACATGTTCAAATCAACCAATCCTGTCACCTGCCCTGGCATCTTCCCTGTCATTGGTGCATCCCACGGATTAGGGAACGGATCGTGTGGTTTGGTTGGAGGAAAATCGGGTGTTTCGGTTGCTAGTTTGGGTACGTACGGTCTGTGACAGCTCCAAATCAGTCAGAAAATCGAAGTGTGAGAATCTGTGTGAATTGAACTTTGTGCGAAAAGATACATTTTGCAACCATTTGAAACATGGCCTTTTCCACCAAAATAAAGAGACACCACCATTTACGAGGCAATGTTCAGGTGTAGAATGTAAGGATCCCTGATTGGCGGATCCCAGCAAAAAACTTCAACCGCTTTGATATCGCATTCCAGGACCATGGTCCTAGGTGTTTGAACCTGAAGCCAGGAAGAACCGGGCACCGGGTTCCACTTTTGGACTACCCCCCAAGCAAATCAGTTCCTCGGACTTCTCTCTTGAATAAATCAAGCACCTTGTGGAAGTCGACAAATGGAACCTTTACCGAAACCTTGACCTCCTTCCTTCTAAAAGGCCGTGCTGGAAATGGCCATGCCTCTGATGAGTCGATTGGGACCCCCTTGTGGCTGGTTTCAAAGGGAGAGGAAAACCCATCGATGCATGTATTTTGACCAGGGGATGGGGGGGGAGAGAGCGGGTAGGAAAGCAGCTTTTCCTGTTGCCCCATCACGAAAGCCACAATCAGCTCTTGTGGATGACATTTGTTGCATGGATATAGACTAGGACCACCATATCTGCAGAATGTTTCTCAAAGCTCTTTTGAGACCGGATCCGGAGGTTCTCAGAACCTTTTCCTGAATGGGGGCCTTTGATTTTCTCACAACTTTTCTGTGTTGGCTGACCAGTGCCCAGCATTGAGTGGTGGTTGCTTCTAGAAAGCAAATCAGGATGTGTTGTTTTTGTCAGAAATTCAATCCTTTAATTCCTCTGTTTCAAGCTATCAACCGATTTATAAGCCCCTGGTTGATGACAGTGGGTGTGTTCCACACTACAGGGATTCGGATCACTTCGGGGAGTTGCACTCCCCTGATAATCCGCCGCGTTGATAAATCTGGGGTCGACCTTCTCACAGAAAGGGTGAGGCGTTCGTGTCCCCTTACATGGAGGATGTTCCACCCACTTCGGAAGTAGCTAAAACAATAAGTCACAACCATACTGGAATTAGCCCCATTGCCCACATATGAACATTGCTACATGCAATTTACCAAGCGTGCAGCGCCCAAAACACCTAGCCATTTGGTGAGCGGTTGTGCTGCGTGGAAAACACCTTCTTGGGTGTGTCCTTTTTCTGGGGTGCCCCTTTCTTGTGGTTTTAGAGGGAACCAAGAGGCACGCCGCCATTCTCGGGGTCTCCTCACCAAAAACGACCGAAAAATTGGATTTCCTACCCTCACCAAAAAAGATCGACGCCGCTCGTCGCGAGTCATCCACCGTGTCCAAATGGCTGTGGGTCAAAACCAATGGTACCATTTTGGGGTAGGTGCACCACCCATTTTAGAACCTATTTTAGTGGTTGGATTGGGATGTTCACTGGGGGTGACCGGGCTTTTGACCCATGGCCAAATCGAAGTCTCAGGGGGGTCCCTGTGCCGGCTGCTGACCCCCGACAAGCCGCTGAGTCGGCAGATCTCTGCGGAGGGCAGCCCCAAGACCGAGGAGCCGCGGCACCGTAGGCCGTCTACTTTGGTGCATGTTGCCAAGGGATGTTTGGACTGAACAGGTTTTTATGCCAACTGATGGGTTTTCTCATTAAACCACTGAAAGTGAGTTGCTTTTAGGGGAGGAGAAAGCAACCGAGAGTACTTGGGTTAGAAGTAAATGTGCATAATTAAGAAACTCGTTGCGTCCGAGAGTTTGGTGGGAGCTGCCGCTGAACTGGGGTACCATCCGCTCGCGGGTATGGGAGTCAACCCCCAAATGAGTGAGTTGTCCTGTCGGTTTCCCTACCTGGAAAGGGTACCGAGCATTAAAAAATGAGCAAACACACACACACACACACACAGAGACACACACACACACACACACACGTACGGCCGGCAACTTGGGAGCGCAACGCTTGAGCCTAAGGCAACTTTGACTCGAGGTACGTGCGCTCTAATGTCAACCACGAATCGACCTCATGGGGTATTGGGGGGAGTTCCCCAAAACGTGATCCGGATTCCTTCTGAGACACGCCCCTAAACTTCAACTGGGGGATCAATTCACTGGCTTCCAAGTGGGTGACTGTGGGACTTGGGTTGTCACTCTCACCAACAAGCATAACGAGCATGGATTTGCACATTCACCGCCCTCGTGTTCCTTTTGCATGTCTTGTGAGCATTCTAAAAGCTGTGAACTCCGCCCAGCAAGATACCCATATCCTGATTTAGAGCATGCTTGTCGCCCCAACAAGCTGAATGAACCAAGTGTTTTTACAGTGGCATTAGTCAATGTTCTTGTTTGTATAGTCGCTTGCTTCGAGAAAGACAACGACCACAAGGCCAGATAAATTGGTCTTGAAATCTTCCGTTGCCGGAGTCGCAGCAATGTTTACCCTTGGTTGGCCAACACTTCGCAGAAGGCGGGGAAAACGAGCTCATTTTGTGGTGAGGGTGTAGGAATCCAACCTTTCCGGGTGAATTGTAGTGGCTTGCCGGAGATCTTGCATCCCTCTTGGCCGGTTGAAACGAAAGCCACAAGGATTTACCTCCCACTTTGGGGGGCCTCCTATGTGAGACACAAAGATACACCCGGGTTGGTCCGTTTCGAGGGCGCCCGTTTTTTTCGCCCTGGTTTGGTCAAAGGGAAAAGCGTCGCACGAATCGGCGGTGTCCGCGCCCGGAAACCAGGACAGGCGCCTCTCCTGGGAGGGAGAGACCCGTTTCTGGCGACGCCTGGGCGGGCACTTCTGGCGGCACTCGGCGGGGGGTGAGACTAGTGTTGAACACATCTTGCGGGGGGGTTATTTCCATGGTGTTTCCTTGTTGCCAACCTACAGCACGATGATGATCACAACACACCTACAGTTGGCACCAGGATTTTGGCTGTTTCTGGGGCGTTGTCAGAGTGAAACGGCGGCGCTGTTTCCCTTTTTGGCTACCAACGACTTTATGCTTTTGGACGACATTTTGGTGACAAACAACAAGTTTTGACTTTGTTCGGCCAACCCACTCGGAAGGTTCAGGCTGCGGTGGATGTGCCTGCGGATCCTTAGCCGATGACTACGGACCCACTCATTGCAGGTGGCGCTTTCAAACTGTCTGGGTTGTTCAAAATCCTGAATCCTTTGTCAGGTGCAACATCTGCAGCATGGGCATGAGTAAAAATAGGGGTCCCAATTTTTGCCACTATGGTCGCTTGTTACAAAGAGCAACCGACATGATCAGGAGTCCAAACCACCCCTTCCCCCAAGGACCAGGGGCAAGGTGTCCTGAAATGGATTTCCTACGTTCTGTATGTCGGAAGTATTGAACGTCTGATTTTGGGCAAGCTTCCTTGGGGTGATGCTAGATTCGTGAGTTTGGGCCTGGTCCACTGGTGCGGGGGCTTGCCAGCGTTGACCAGCAAATTGCCAACTTGTTGCATTGGCCATCCAACCAAGTCCCCAAGGGTAGGGAAAACGAAACGCGTGTGTGTTAAACGTTGGACACGTTTGTTGGATACTAAGGAGCCGTGCTTGAAAAAACTGAGTGCCAATATCCCAGGCATTCAATCTTTTCTCTCAGAGCCTTGGGTCCACGGCTCGTTTGAACTAAGGCAGGGTGAGTACCAAGGGGGTTCCCGACTTCGGCTGCTGCGAATGGATGCGCTCACCAGGCGCGGAAAGCGCGGCACGGGGCTCAAAGCTCGGGTCCGGACATGAATTAATTCATGGAATCCAAACAGATCACCAGAAAGCGTTTATCCTTGCAGTTCATTTTGTGCGTTTATCTTTCGAGCTTTATCTTTGTGAGTTTTCTCTAGAAGCTTTTTTTTGTTTAGTTTATCTTTGTGCCCTGTCTTGAGACGATGGAACCCCTTGAAGAAGGTGTCTGGAATACATAGAGCGGATCTCAGTACGTTCCCAACAAGCCGGCCGAATAGTAATCTCAGATGTGTGTCGATCAAGGGGTAACGGGCTGATGAGCTCATGCTGAATTCAGTGAACGCATCGGAAGACTTGCCGTTTTCGCCGCAGTCCTCGGCACCTCCAGCTCCAGAAACTCGTGGGAGCCAGAAGGTTTGTCAGCACAAAATGGACCCCAGAGGACGGTGTCTCAATTTCTGGAAGGCAACCCTTTTGGGGTTGTGTTAACAGGAACTAGGTTGTCTGTAATACAAGGTGTACACAGGCACGCAGCAGTCCATGCATATCTTGCTTCTGTCTGCAAGTGCACAGGGCCCGTATCCGTCCGTCCACCCATTTTCCCGGTTTCCAGCGAGTCCCCTCATGCCGCGTTTTTTTCGTATGTTTGGCTTAGAGCAGCACCTTTGCTTCCCAATGGAAGGTACCCTCCCATGCACAAACATGGAACCTCACAGCGGGGCTCTGCAAGATTTAACATGGAACCCACAAACAAGATTTAACCTCACAAACATGGAACCCACAAACATGGAACCTCACAACCTAAATACCCTGTTTTTAATGAAAGGGAACTTTTGGGTGGATTCCGTTTCATTCTCGGGCAATGCTGAAGCCATTCCGTGGAGACATTTCCACTCAATCGATGCCGTCAGTCGACATCCTGAAAGCAGTGACAATTGGCAGCAAAACTTGCTGGTACTTAGGGAATCTCAAGGGTGTTGGACATACACCTGGGAATCCCTGAAAGGAAGCCATATCAAAGGCTGAATGTATACTTCCATGAACCCCTGGTATGATCCCCTAGTTTATGGGCCGTTAGCTATGTCTTAAGTATGGGAAATCAGCCCCCACACAAAATAGCCATGGGTTCATATATATATATATGTATGGACCTACGCAATCAGCCCTTGACCGTAAGGGGCGTCTTATAGAGGTGACTCCCTCTTTCCCTACCTATCCAGCCAACTCTTCCGGCGTCCCTGGAGCTACGGGATCGGCAGATCGGCCCATCGGCAGCGCAGGAATTGGTGCTGCTTCTTTGTGGATCTGAAGGCAAGTGACGTGTGACGGTGAGTCCTTTTGGGGTAGATTAACACCCACTGAGATTTCCTTTGGCCCCCTGCCGGTTTCCTTTCTTTAGGGTATCCTGTTTAAGCCAAGCTTAATTGAATCTCATGTTTGGCAGGGAAACAATGAATGTTGGCCCAGATTGATCATCCTGGTGGATGCCATCTTAAATCGGACTCCCTATTCATCAATGTTTGTGAATGCAGGGTTCCCATTGCGCATATAAGGAACCCTGAGCTGGCATTGGTGAAGTACAGACATAGATCACCCAGCAACCCCTTCGGTCGACCAAACCCATGGCATGGGTCAAGGAAGGCCCCCAAATGCAATGCTGGCATTCTGAGGTGCTCTTCGCTTCGAGAAGCACAACCTTTCAACTTATCTGGGTGAATTGTAACGACCTCACACGACCTCACCCCAAATGGTGGTCTATGTGGGGAATATCCCTCCAACCACCTTATTTCAGGCTGGTGACCTATTATAATTCACCCAAACTTACTCGAACGTAGCCAACCACCAACTCGCACATGTTGAACAAATGTCGTAGGGGTCAACCCCCCATCCGAGAGTGTGTGTTGTTGATATCAAGAGTGGTAGGCTAGACGGAGTACACACGCTGCATGTGTCAACATTGGCGTGTGTGTGTGTGTGTGTGTGTGGGTGTGCGTGTGTGGGTGTGTGTGGGTGTGGGTGTGCGTGTGCGTGTGCGTGTGCGTGTGCGTGTGTGTGTGTGTTTTTTTTTTTTTTTTTTTTTTTTTTTTTTTTTTTATGTTTGTGCTTGTGCTTGTGTGCTTGTGTGCTTGTGTGCTTGTGTGCTTGTGCGCTTGTGTGCTTGTGCGCTTGTGTGCTTGTGCGCTTGTGCGCTTGTGCGCTTGTGCGCTTGTGCGCTTGTGCGCTTGTGCGCTTGTGCGCTTGTGCGCTTGTGCGCTTGTGCGCTTGTGGCTTGTGTGCTTGTGCGCTTGTGCGCTTGTGCGCTTGTGCGCTTGTGCGCTGGTGCGCTGCGCTTGTGCGCTTGTGCGCTTGTGCGCTTGTGCGCTTGTGCGCTTGTGCGCTTGTGCTTGCTTGCTTGTGTGCTTGTGTGCTTGTGTGCTTGTGTGCTTGTGTGCTTGTGTGCTTGTGTGCTTGTGTGCTTGTGTGCTTGTGTGCTTGTGTGCTTGTGTGCTTGTGTGCTTGTGTGCTTGTGTGCTTGTGTGCTTGTGTGCTTGTGTGCTTGTGTGCTTGTGTGCTTGTGTGCTTGTGTGCTTGTGTGCTTGTGTGCTTGTGTGCTTGTGTGCTTGTGTGCGTGTGCTTGTGTTGCTTGTGTGCTTGTGTGCTTGTGTGCTTGTGTGCTTGTGTGCTTGTGCTTTTGTGCTTTTGTGCTTTTGTGCTTTTGTGCTTTTGTGCTTTTGTGCTTTTGTGCTTTTGTGCTTTGGTACTTTTGTGCTTTTGTGCTGGTGCTGGTGTTGGTGCTGGTGTTGGTGTTGGTGTTGGTGTTGGTGTTGGTGTTGCTGGTTGGTGGTTGTGGTTGTGGTTGTGGTATACCCGTCTGGACCTATTTTCTGGAATGCACGAGGTCGACCACAAATCGGGTGCATGTTTTATTTGGGTGTGTGCTCCTTGATTTTTTGTTGGCGTGCATTCTAGAAAAGGTTCTTTAGCTGGGTGATGAAGCTTGGAGCTTGGAAGTGCATTTAACCTGATTTTTGTAGGTTTTCACTTGGTGCATTTTTAGCCAAACTGTAGACATCCCGGCCGGCCCCGCAACATTTGCCAGCATTTGCTTGGTGTGAGTTCAACGAGAAGTGTCAGGCACTCAGACTTTGTTGGGAGCGGGGGGCAGGGCAAACATTTAATTGTTGTCAAGGTCATCGTGGCATTTCGCCTCGGAACTCTTCTTGTTGCAAGGGGCTAAGCCATAGTCTCAGAGTGCCGGCACGTTCATCACAGCATTGTGCGAGTTGCATTCCTGGCAGGGACAAACTGGGAGCCAGAAGATGTTAGTGGAAAGGCGTGGAGCTGAATGTCGTGCGATGACGTGGCACACCGCGAAATTGCGGCCAGTTTCGCAGAGCTACCTGTGCTGGTGCATTTTAGATGTCTCTGGCCGACGCAGCGGCTCCTGGATCCCCGGAAAAGAACGGCGGACGCAATACGGATCGATGCGGAATATACGGATTCTGCATCCAGAATTGTTCCAACCTCTGAAGTTGGTACTTTGCATTTTATCAATTTAAATAGTTTGTGTAAAATGCGGTGACTGACCTTCGGTATTTTTCTTGTGGAGGTTGTATGTTGCATTTAACCAATTCATACGAAAAAATCCAGAGGTTGGCTCTGCATTGTATAAAAAACGTTGGGCTTGGCACATGCATTTTAGCGGCCCTGTGCAGAGCCAGCCCCGAGATACAGTACAGACGGGTATGTTGTGGTTGTGGTTGTGGTTGTGTTTGTGTTTGTGTTTGTGTTTGTGTTGTTTGTGTGTGTGGGCGTGTGTATGTATGTGTGTGTGTGTATGTGTATGTGTGTCTGTGTGTATGTGTGTATGTGTGTCTATGTGTGTCTCTGTGTGTCTCTGTGTCTCTGTGTGTCTCTGTGTCTGCGTCTGCCTCTGCCTCTGCCTCTGCCTCTGCGTCTGGGTCTGGGTCTGGGTCTGGGTCTGCGTCTGCGTCTGCGTCTGCGTCTGCGTCTGTGTCTGCGTCTGCGTCTGCGTCTGCGTCTGTGTCTGTGTCTGTGTCTGTGTCTGTGTCTGTGTGTCTGTGTCTGTGTCTGTCTCTGTGTATCTGTGTATC